CCGGTGAAGGGGAGGGGGGTTTTTGAAGGAGGGGGGGGGAGGGGGTTTTGAATGGGGGGTCCGCGGTTGAATCCCAGCGGGGTTACCCCCACGTTGGGTTTTCAACAGAAAACGAGAGAGTGTCAGAGGAAAACCGAATTGGTGTTGTCATCGGCGGAAGAAGACGGAGTCATTGTCGCTGAAGTCCCGTGCTTCGAGCTCTGCATCCCTTGCTGCGAGATTGGCTTCGGTGAGGGCGAGTGTCTCTCCTTCAACAAAGTCCGAGTCAACATCGTCAGAGGTTGAAACTTCGGCACGTCTGAACTGTCTTTCACCACCACGACCTCCAGTAGGTTGTGGGGGTGCACCGCCATTGAAGCCACCACCTGGGGTTACTCCGAATTGACCGCCTCCGTTGGGAGGAGGGGGGGCACCACCCCGACCGCCTCCGTTGGGAGGAGGGGGAGCACCACCTCGACCGCCACCGCCTCCTGTTTGAGGGGGGGGAGGTGCTCCGCCACGTGATGGTGGTGGTGGTGGTGCACGTTGGGGACTACGGGCCTCGATTATATCATCCAGAGAGCGAGCAGCCTTGCTACTACTGCCTCGGCGGGTGCGGCTACCGGGCTGCACTGCAGGGAGTGCAACTCTTCCGTCACCAAGGGCCACTCCTCTAGCGGAGACCCCATCGGTCGTAACATCCCTGGTGTTGAGGGCCTGAGGAGCAGCGTAGGCGCCCAGCGCTGCGGCAAGCACAATAACGGAAGTAATCCTCATGTTGGAATCAGGTAGGTCGAATTGCCAGAATTGACGCTTGTTGGTGTGTTGAGGTGCTAAAAAAGTTGGAGTTAAAAAGGGTGTATCGTGTGAACAAGCAGTCAAAGCTGCAACGAAAACGAATGGCTGACCGGCAGTCAAGACAAAGGGTGGGATTGAGTGCCAGACTCGAAGGGTGTGTGGAGGAAAAAGGAGATGAGAGATGTGCGGGATGGGCTGAGGACAAGGAGAGGGAGGATCGGAATGCGAGCTGGTGGTGTCTTTATAAAATTGCTGACCGTCGATGTGCGACCTCCTGCTCCACGTGAAATTTCACCCTAGATGTAACCACCGGAACAGAGGCGAGCCGGGCAATGGGGTCGAAACGCTGTGAGTCAAGTCTGTTGATTTCGAAAGTTTTGAGTCCGGTTTGAAATTCTTCTGTAGCAGGGAAGTGCCAGCAATCGACGACAGGGGAGGGTTGGCTCCAGAGGAGAAAGGCAGAGCTGCTGGGGATCAAATAGAGGGTGATGTTGATGTTATCTATAGCATTTTTTGTTCGGTTGTTGATTATGTGTCTTGTTAATGTCGACCTAATCCCTCAAATAGAAGCATTCAACCTACAAGCCACTTCATGTCCCTTGGCAAGCAGTTTGGCACGGTAAGACATCTCTTCCTACTTGGCGAAGGTTGGCAAAATTGATTCAGATTTGTAACGCATGACTCGTTCGGTGGTCGGCATCGTGGCAAACGGGAAACCTTCTGAGACGTAGCTGGATAGGTCTTGCTTGTTAGAGATTAAACACAGAGCCAAAGGACGCTGATAGAAAGCACGTACCTCCCAGTGATGCTACTCTGACACCTGGTGATGATTTGGCGAAAACAGCAGCGTTCGGAGTTGATGGGGACACATGTCCCGGCGCTGTGCATGTGATCAATCCGGACGCGCCTGTTTGCCAGTATTCCTGTGCGTCGGGCAGTCAGCCTCTTTCTGATTATCCTCGAGTTCGAATTCCTGCCGGTTTGGCAGGGTACGAGATGCGATGCGATGCATCCGTGAGAAAGAGAGCAGAGGTCATTCATGTCCACCTCTGCTAGGAATATCCAACAATTAAATGAAGGCCGACACAGTGGACAAAAGAACCTAGCACTGCAAAGTAAACACAGAATATAGTTAACCTTGCTAACTTGCTATGTGAGTGTGGAAGGGGCCGAAGGGTTGCTACCTAAGGCACCTTAACACTTCCAAGTGGGTGGGTGCCGAAAAACAAATTCCTCTTATCTTATCCATCTTTCGATCTTGCCACTCCTTAACTCTGACATATCTCCACTTTCAACTACATTCGCTCCAGCCTTTCGTTGACTAACTTTTGACTGTTCAGCTTGTTCATGCCCCAAGAACAGCTTACTAAATACAATAGAATAGAAAGTTTCTCGCATCCAAGTCACCGGATTCATGAATGTACTTTGCTCAAGAATAGGATCATGACCCCAGGAGAGCAATGCATCGGTACATGGGTTTCATGGGGGTATTCAGGGCTGTTAGGAGGTCACTCAGCATATATTAAGCCAACATCCCATCTGTGTCAAATACTCTTAGTTAGGTATCTTAGTCAATCAAGCCTCATAACCACATCTTTCAGCATACTCGAGATCATGCTTGTCGGGCTCACGAAAGACGTGATATAGTGATGAACCGAGGGAAATGGTATGCTTGGGTCCTGGCAGATCAGCCAGTTGCTCCCAAGGTCTTTTTTGGTGAGCAGAACAGACTGGATAGCTTGACACCACCAGACTTTCATACGCGTTCTTATACCTCTCCGCAGTCCCTAGCGCTCACCAGCGCCTTTATCGGTCGTTCCGCAACGAAGCAGGACCGCTCGGCCACTGGCCTGAGACGCTGGCTCGCCTAGCCAAGCCCCTTAGGTTCAAATATGGAGGTTCTTCGGGTGTCAACCTCCCGCCTGATTCAGGAGACGAGCCTGACGAACAGTCCCAGACGGAACCGGAGTGACGACTATACACAAAACCCCTTAACCCTGAGGATTGGCGCCTGTTCCCAGTGTTCCTTTATCGGCACCGACATATGCTGAATATGTTTTGACCAGGATTGTGAAAGTTCTCAATTACATTATTCGAAGCAGAGGATTGATTGCGTTGAATGAAAGAGTAAGGGGTTAAATACGTCCAAGATGGGTCATCTACTCCACCTCGGTCTAAGGCTGACCAGACTTTCCTTGGCTGGTGTTTTTACTGTTGCATGACAACCCGACGCCACTACAGAAGGCCTTATCTTTCAATAATTTCATCTAGCTGCTTGTATCCCAAGTCAGGCATTTTTCGGACTGTCGTGCTGATGGCTTCACGAGATATTGAAACCCTTGATGTATTCTGTGACAGCAATGCGCAGCAAAGGTTGGAGGGCGATAGCTCGGGATATACATTCATTATTGACTCCTACCAGCTACCACACAACAGCCGGACTTCTCCTCTGCCGAAAGTGTCAGACAAACAGATTAGCCGAGAGTTGGGCGTCTTCAGTTCAGCCAACAGTATGACCTTTGGACTGCCTTTTTTTCATCAGAAATCACCTTATGCGACTGGCCACCTACTTTCAATCCTGCAGCCGGGTCAAGGAAAACTACCATACGTTGATGACCAGGCATCGTACGTTGGTTTCAGCATTAACTGCTGTCTATGGTTCTGTTAGTTGACCCTAAACTCATGGAGATAAAGCTAGCTGACTCACAAATGGCGCCTACGAATTCCAACATTTCCACCATCAAAGATCGGCAACACCACAGCTGTGTTTAGGAGGTCCGAGAATGGCCTTTGGAGGTCGTATGCCGAGCTGAACCCCAAATTTAGCAGCTGTCCTTCACTTCATCGCTGTGACCAGTGAAGGAACACTTACATCCCGACTGCATTGATCACATCCGTACAAGCCTTAACAGCCGCCTCACTGCAAAACACCTTGGCCGCCAGAGCCAGTTCCCTCCTGGCATCATAGTCACCCGGTCCATTCTCCATAGCGTGAGCAGCCTTCCATGTCAGTGCTCTCGCAGCTTCAGTCTGTATCTTTACCCCGCTCAACAGATCCGCAAAAGCCTGCCTCTCCAGCAGTGGCACTGCCCCTCCTCTGTTGTCCTCCTTGGCAAATTTTAGCGCAGCATCAAAAGCAGCCCTCATCAAGCCAACCCCCATTGCCCCCACCAAAACAGCGCTCCCATCAAAGGCTCCAAACGCTACCTTTGCTCCCTGTCCGGCCGGACAAAGTACATTTTTCGTCGGAACTCTGACATTAGTATACCTTACGTGAGGTCCCGATACACTCGTATGTCCCGGTGTAGCCACATGTCTCAACACTTCAAAGCTTCCCTCTCCATTCCTATCCAAATCAGCCCTCGTAACCAAAATGATCATCACCTTGTTTTCTGGATCTTGTCCTTCTTCCAACGGAGTAGTAGCATCTCTGCAAACGACACAAGCAAGGTCACACCCCTTGAAATCCCAGCCTGCGCAGTTAGTAGCCCACATCTTTTCTCCGTTGATGACCCACTCATCTCCTTCCAGCCGGGCGGTTGTTTGGAACCCTGGCGCGCCCTTTTCAAGGGCATTGGCTACGCCACCTGGTTCGGAAAAGACCAGAGACGCAAGGGGGCTACCTTCACCACTGAGGAAAGGGGCAAGGAATTCTGCGTGCTGAGGTCCAGCAGCGAGGTTGATGGGTGTGAGGCCGAGACCAGTGGCGAAGATGGTGAGCGCGGCGGAGGGTTCGACGGAGTAGCATTCTTCTACTAGGATGGCGGATTCAATGAGGGTGCCGCCAGTGCCTCCATGAGCAGGGGAGATTTGGCCCTTGAGAATCCCCGCAGAAACCGCGGCGGCATAAGTGGGTTGTGTTGATTGGAAGCGTAGAGGGGAGTTGGGTGGGTGTTGAAGATAGGTTTGCCGGGCTGGCATCAGCAAATTGCGGGCCAAAGACCGGGCAGCTTGATAGGTTCCCTTCTGGGAAGCGGACAGGTGGAAGTCAATGGGCATTTTGGGCGAATGTTGCTCACAACGACAAAGAGGGATGCTCTTTGGGTTACACAAGAGATAAAAGATGATGAAAGAAATTCATGAAAGATAAATGACAGGGAAAGTAAACTTGGGCATCACGACCCTTTTGAACCCCGCAGCTGAGGTGGTTCTCTTTCTCGGCCATAACACCACAATGACTTGACCCAAACAAGCGAAACGAACGACAATCACAAACCAACAGCCGAAGACTATGCATGTGAGCACGTCTAGCGTTGCAGTGCATTGGTGGAAAGCCCACCATCACTGGCCGTCGAGGTGATGACTGGCGAGCAGACAGGGGGCTGAATAAGTGGGACGGCATGATTCGCTGGGATCACTTTGAATTTCAACACTATTTGTCTCAGCTGATCTAGGGAATATCCTTCGAGTTACCTACCCACCACATGAGAGACTTGGTATTTGTGAAGAATCGAGTCATCGAACTGTGAGCGAAAATGTGGTGATATTTCTGAAGATCCAAGGCTACTACTACCTCACAATACTTTGTGAACATAAGGAAAGACTTAAACTTACAAGGCACCCTTTAACATCAGATACCTTATCTGGTAGCATAATAAGAGCTCTTGTGATTGTTGAACTGGTCGCTGATAAAACTCTAGGCACAATCTGTTGGCATAACTAGCACATTCACCTTTCGTTTGATCTGTTTAACAGCCTCAGCTCACTGTAGGGGCACTTTCTATCACGGCTGTGCTTTGAGATTCTTCCAGCCTTAAGTCAAGATCAGGTCAAAAATGAGGAGTTAAAACCCACGGGTCTGTAACGTCCTTCTCAAGAACCCCTTTCTGCTATTTCTATTCCTTGGTACAAGTAGGGCTGAATACGTAGTTGGCCAGGGTCATCAAGAGGAAGCATCTTTTCATATTGACTTCCATCTGATGTGATTAGGACTAAAGATGTCCTGTGACTACAACTTCAAGGAACAAGGTTCGTGTTTCACCTGGCTTCGGTCTTTTTATATTGATATCCAGTGTTTTTGAGAGCAGAAAATGCCTTTCGAACATGCCCAAAGGCTTTCTGTCAACAGGTCATCAGCAGTCGGTTTCTGCAAAGAGATGAACAGCGGTATTCTACCAGTCATCTTATCGCCAATTAAACTGGGGTACAGCTGAGCTTTTGTCGAGGCTAGAAACTTCTCGCCAATCTATTCAACACCCAGTTGTCAAGCCAGTTGCTCTCGACGTTATCCTTACCATTTGCAACTTCAACTTGGGTTCCCACAAACCAACCAAGTGTTGCCAACTTTGTTATTTTTTTACCTACATCACCCTCGCCCAAAGTCAACAGGTTCGGCCAACTACGAATCAACAGGCAAGAAGTTTGAAAATTGTGCTTCCCAAAACCCGCCCATCTACAAGCATCAACTTCACCACTAGCTCCTGCCCAAGCAAGAGAGCGACGCGGTTCCAGCTGTTGTCAAATTGTAAGTTGCCTTCTCTTTCCTGTGGAATCACCGAGTATTGACATTCATCACCTCGGCCTTCCTCCTGCACCCTACATCCTGACAGTTTCTGGAAGCCTGGAACTACCTGAGCACCAGCCTCATCGTCTAATTTTACTTTCTACAAGTCACTTGACGCTGCAAACTTTCCTTTTACCTGCTCCTGCCTGCGATTGCCTGCCATTAGTTGATTTTGTCGGCGTACACTTCTATCACGCTCTTTTCCTCCCAGCCATCACCTCTTCCACAAATCCTTCCCTGCCTCTCTCCTCCGGATTCCCTGCCCACCCAGCTACACATCTAAACCCACAGATATTTTCTTTTCACACATTTTTACAATTGATTATCCCTAACCGCTTCACCAGCTGATCGCAACCTCACAGATGGCAAGCAACGCACGCTACCCGCGGAGTAACGCCCGCCGACAAAGTGGAAATGGAAACCGCGGATGGATGTGGCAGAACAAGCCCTCTAACAGCAGCAACAACGGCCGCGATGACGAGGAAGACGATTGCCCCCCTCGACCCAACAACAATAAAACCTATGTCTCGCTCATTTCCGACGACGAAGACGAGGAGGAGGAGGACGGTAAGGCCGCTTCCCAGAAAAGAAACGTTAGTTACGTCGACACCCCCAACACTAGTCCAGCCACGAAGAGAATTGCTTCCTCGTCTGTTTCCCGGACCGATCGAACTCCCTTCGCTGCTGCCAGCGCTGCACTTCCTGCCAGTGGTTTTCGGACGCCTCCTGCCCCGTTTCACCAGAACGACACAGTTACCCAGCTGGCTGCACGGGTACATGAGACGCAAGATGAAAATGAGAAGTTGAGGGTGAGGATGGCTAATTTCGGGATGATCACGGCGAAGAAGGATGCAGAGATAGCCTCGCTCCGCGCGATCATTGAAGAGAACCGGCAAACGGCCGCGAAGAATTCTTCAACTGGTATCGGGCCGGTCCAGCAAAATGCCAACGGGCAGCAGCAAGCTTCGCAAGGACCAGCTAAGCCATGCACCAGCTGCGGTGGTACCGATACGCTCAAGCGAGAGGTCGCCGACTTCACAGTCAATCTCGCCAAGGCGAGGAGCACTGTCGTCCACCAGCACGACGAGATCAAGGAACTCAGGGAGGAAGTCAAGACTAACAAGGCAGCTCTCGTTGAGGAGCGTGCTGCGGTAGCCCAGCACAAGATTAGTATCGACCAGCTTACTCTCAACCTGGAGGCTGAGCAAGCGACCGTAAAGAATCTCCACACGACCCTAGCCGAGAATCAGGTTACCATCGACAATTTGAACCAGCAGCTCGCCGCACAGAGTCAGGAGCTTACCTCGAAAAAACAAGAGCTGGATGCGCAGCGCCAATGGTGCTCTACCCAGGGCACAGAGCTTTCTGAAGCCCGAGCTACCATCGCGGATCTCAAGAGCCAACTCGCCTACAAACAACACGAGCTGGAAGTCGCCCGATCACAATCGGAGGAAGACAAGACCTCCATGGCTGAGCTCAACATTGCCATTGAAGACTTCAAAAAGCAAGTGGCTAACGGCCAGGCGTCCCTCGACAATGCTCGCACCACCCTCTTTGTCAACGGCACAATCATGCAGGATCTGAAAGACCAGGTCGTCGCTACCAGCGAGAGCGACAGCTCTGGAGGCGCAAACAAGGACAAGAACAAGCTTCCGGACCTTGAGGCAGAGTCACTGAGGGTCAGACTTAAAGACTCTGAGCACGAGATTGAGACTCTGAAGCAACGGCTCGACAAGGCTGAGAAGGAGTGCGAGGGGTTCCGGACTAATTACTACAAAGACCAGCAAGAAAAGAAGAATTTTGGAAGTAATCTCAGGTCTGTCTGGGAGAAGGAGGACGAGGCCAACGCACGCGTCGAAGGTTTGGAGGAGGAACTGGCTCGTCAACAGCGGCAACTTGTTGAGTCAGAGGCTGAGTTGAGACAGCAGCAAGAGAGGGCTGGTGAGTGTGAAGCGAGACTTGAACAACAGAGACAAGCCTTTGATCAAGAAAAGGAAATGATGGAGACCGTGATCGCGAGTCTCGAAGACGAGTTGACCCGCCTCAGGTCTGAAGCAGCACCCGAGATGGAGACACTGAAAGCCACTCTCCAGAGCGTCAATGAGCAGCTTTCTCGCGTTCAATCAGAGAGAGACGAGGCTGTCAAAGATGCGAATGGGCACAGAGACATGTACCAACGCCAGGCTGGCAAGCTTGAGTCGTCAAAAAAGGCATCTGACATGTCTCGCGCTTACGTCACATCGCTCAAGAACCAACTCGCCACCAAGGGTGAGCAAATCGCCCATCTCGAAGAGAAAGTCAAGGATCTCGAAGTTGAACTCGCCGCCTGCCAAAACTGGGCGATTGAGGGCGAGGCGCAGAGGGTGCAAGCGCAGGAGGAGCTTCAGAGGCACAAGGCGCAGGATGACAAGAATCTGGAGACGATCAAGCAGAATGAGGCAACCATTATCCAGCTCGACACAGAAGTGGCTGGTCAGTCACAAACCATACAGGCAATGCAAGCTACCATTGCCGAGCTCCAAGCCCAGCTACATCCCGGCAATAGACCCGGCAACCAAGCCGCTATCCAATCCCATACCGCCCATCTCGAGAGTCAGATCCAGCAGAAAGATATGGAGTTGGCCTCAGCCAAGGAGCAACTCGACCGGCTCTTCAACCAATACAACGACCTCACCCACGAGCGGGCGAAACTGGCGGAGAGTAACAAGACATTGTGTACGCATATGAACAAGCTAGGCGCGGAAAGGGACCAGGCGTTGCATACTCTCGAAGCAACCAAGGCCGCGCTGCTTCAGGCTGAAGACGACGCCGACTTTTTCAGAAGACGGGAGAAGGCCCTTGAGGAAGGGGACGACCCGGAATTTGCGCACATGGAGAGCGAATGGGCGCCTAAACTTAGGGATGCCAAGGCTCAACATGAGGAGGCGTCCAGGGAGTTGGAGAGATGTCGGCAGAAGGTTGAGGAGTTGCAGATACAGTTACAGACTGTCTCTCGGCAAAAGAATGAGACACTCCGGCAACTGGAATCCAGCAGAGGGCAGTTGGCTAAGTTTCAGCTCACCGTGGAAGACCTGAACAGCCAGTTGTCCAAGGCAGCGGAGGGCTGCATGGACCCAGCCGTGTTGTCCAACTTGATGGAAGCGGGGAGCACGATCGACCCAGTGGTCAAAGACATGCTGCAAAAGGCCAGAGAGATCCAGTCCGCTGGTGACATCCCCAGAAAAGATGGAAATGGAGTTTCTTCCATGTTTGTTGACCCTCTCCTTTGTCTCTTTGGTTTGTATTTATTCTTTGCTAACTTCCTCTGCTCCAGGGAACCCACTGCAGATGTGGCCATAGTCCTCCCCATGGCCCTCCGAGCTGAGCCGTTTCCAGATTGCAAACTCAAGTCTCTGAAGAAAGAAGGCCTCTACAAAATGATTAGAGACCTAGAAGCAGAGCACGAGAGGATTGATGACGCGATCCGGGCTCTCATCATGCGTGTCAGGGCTGAAAAGATCAAAACGGCGGCGCTGGAGAAGGAGGTGAGGGTGTGGAAGGCGATCTCAACGACAAAGGACATGCTGATTGACCAAGCTACGGCGCGGCTTCTTGGTTCCCCTCATGGAGCGGAGATCAAGGATCATGCCGACTTTGGCTTCGACCTCGACTTTAACGAGCGGTCCCCAAAACCGGAACTCGACGTAGAAATGATAGACGTCATGCCTCCTCGAAAGTCGTTGGTCATGACATTTGGCCCAACCCGGAAGGGGTACCAGTGCTGGAAGGGCGACGACCTCCCTGGCTACGATCGTTTGGACGTCGATGCCAGCAAACAGGACCGGCTCGGATACTTGACCGGCAAGGGGAAAAGCATCGTCAAGTACCTCGAAGATCGTGGTTGCCCTCCGCATCCAGAGGTTCCTGGTCCGTCTCCTGGCCCTATAATGGTCTCGGCTCCTCATTCTGAGGCCAGCATGGACATTGACGACGAAGAAACCGGCTCGCGCTACACCGCCAGTGAAACAGCCTCCTCTCCGCTCCGACCATTGGCACCTTCGTTGCGTTCGTCAAGCTCTCACCCCTCCCCAGCTTCGCTACCACCTGTGGAATTGGGCGTTGCTCGCCGCGGTGGTGCTTCCTCCATCCATTATGAGCCACCAAGCACCCCGAGCAGCACCCAATCCTACACCAGCGCCGTGTACCCTGCCCCGACCTCCACTCCATCCCATCGAGGGTTTCCAAGAGGGAGATACACCGCCAGCAGGTTCAGACCATCCTCCGCTCCGGCGTTCGCCGAACCAAGCTATCCTCCCCGTCGCACGTCTGCGCCCACTAGCACTCCTCAGAGTTGGGCTGCTGGTGATTTTGTCGAGCAAGACGACATCGATATGGAGGTCTTGGGGTCGGGCTTTACCATGGAGAGTATCGAACAGCCCGAGGAGCTAGAGCCAGAGCCTCCGACGGACAAGGGGAAAGGGAAGGAGAGGAGGGGGTCCGGATCGGCAGAGGGGTATGGGGTTGATTAACTTGGTCTTTTGAGGGCCTTTATCCTCTCCAAGCTAAGAAAACGGAGATTTTCTGCTATCTTTCATCGCTTTGCAACAAAACCAGGACGGGAAAAAGGGGGAACATGCATCAATTTCAGGCGTAGTTTTTCTGGTGGCTTTGTACTTTTATTTAGCATTGCATTAGCGGCACGGTGCCGCAGGATGGTACCCATTTCTTCTGCATGGGAACGGAGTCTGGGGTGGCAAAGGGAGTTTTCTTGTAGTTCTATGATGATACCGGGGGAATGTAAATGCGGGAAGGATGCAGTATCGTTGCGGTTATTGCTGGAGGTTGGAGTATAGTTTTGTAGCAGATATATGGACACATATATTGAGAACCATGCTGTTTGTGAATCTCTGCCTATGTCTTCTGACCGGAGGACAGGCGTATCGGAAATCCCCAAGTTCCACTTCCTCAATCTCCACATGAAATCTGACGCTTATCTACCTAGACGGGCTGAATGAATCAGTTATGTCGCAACCGATGGCCAAACCTTAGATAAGGCCAAGGGAGACAGGAATCGCACTTTCCTGAGAGTTGATATGACCCCGCTGTTGTCTGTTGTTGTTGACTTGTGGAAGGTGCAACCTGTACCTACCCACCTCTTCAAGGCCGACACAGCAGGAGCAAGACACGAAGAAGCGTCCCACCGGACCACAGAAAAACGTGCGCTTTCCTATCTGCTCAAGTCGTCTTAACTCGAGGCAGGAACCTGTCCTGACAAGCCCCAATCCCTCCGCCCAAACACCACTCGCACCTTCTCGGCCGAACTCCTCCTCCGCTTCCATATTCGCTGCAAACAAACAAAGACGATAATCGATACCGACAAGCAGAATGGGTATGTTATTCACTATTTTCTATTCCTGTATTTCACAAGGGAAATAAAACTGACAGCCAACCCAACAGCGGATAGCGCCACGACAGCTGCCACCTGTATGGCCCCGGTCCGAGACGTACACAAGAAGTCAACCGGGATCACAACAATCCCCAACTATGAGCCCTCTTCGGAACAGGTCAGAGAGACGGTCAACGGCCTGGTGCTGCCCACCGAGGAGGAGAAGCGGACCTTACGTCGCGTTGCCGGGAAGATGCCCAACACCTGCTACCTGCTCTGCGCTGTCGAATTCGCCGAACGCGCCTCTTACTACGGCTGCAATCAAGTCTACAAGAACTTCATCCGCGCGCCTCTTCCCCCTGATGGAAACGGCACTGGTGCCACGGCTCCTGGTTCGCTGTACACCGCCGGTGCGCTTGGTCAGGGTTCTGTTGTTGCCAGCGCCATGACCGAGGCCTTCAAGATGATGGCCTACACTCTGCCGGTGCTGTTCGGTTGGATGGCCGATGCCAAGTATGGCCGGTTCAAGATGGTTTGCTGGGGCGTGGGCATCTGCGGTGTCGCCCATGTCATGATGGTTTTGTCCTCACTCCCACCTGTTCTCATGGCGGGCAAGGCTATGGTCCCGTTTGCCCTGTCTTTGTACATGTTGGCCATCGGAGCTGGTGAGTACAGATAGGTAACCAACCGAGTACACGTTTGCCCCCTCACTGACACACTTCTAGCCCAGTTCAAACCCAACATCTCCCCAATGGTCATGGATCAAAGTCCACACAAGGTCGCACATGTGATTGAGCAGAACGGCGAGAGGGTCATCGTGGACCCCGAGGCTTCTATTAACAGCGTCATGCTGTGGTTCTATCTCCTGATCAACATTGGTGCTTGCTTCGGTGTTCCCACCACCTACCTCGCCAAGCTGGTCGGTTACTGGGCTGCGTACTTGATTCCCACAATCTTGTACCTGATGCTTCCCCCGCTCCTGTGGTACCTCAACCCCAGGCTCATCAAGCAACAGGCCGGCGGTTCGGATCTAGGCAACGTGTTCAAGGTCTTGGGCGACTGCCTTCGCCATGGTGGTATCACCAGCATCGGGCGTAGCGGGTTCTGGAACCAGGGCAAGCCAAGTGTGCGTCTTGCTGCTGGCAGCACAAAGCATTATGGGTATGACGACAACTTCGTGGACGACGTCCGTCGAACATTCCAGGCCTGCGGTATCTTTGCCTTTACGCCCATATACTACATCAACGGTAGTGGCATTGGCGCCGCAGCCAATGCCTTGTCTGCCAGTCTGGATACTAAGGGTCTTCCCAATGATCTGCTGGACAATCTGAATTCCATTAGTATTGTAATCAGTAAGTGTCGCCCTTCTTGCCATGAGCAAGTATCACGCCTTCTAATACAAGCCTGCAGTGGTGCCGGTGATGAATCATCTCGTCTATCCCTTCCTGCAAAAACGCGGAATTTCATGGGGGCCTATCAGCCGTATGACGTTTGGTTTCGCTCTCTGCACCGTGGGATCATCGGGCTTCGCCATCCTCCAGTATTACGCCTACAAGACATCGCCGTGCGGGTTCAACGCCACGACATGCGCAGACATTCTCCCTGAGGGCTCGGTAACAGTCTCCCAGGTCTCATACCTGTGGTATTCCATCCCTGTCATCGTGAACGCCATCTCGGAGATCTTTGTCAATGTCACGTCGTATGGCATTGCGTACAGCCGGTCGCCCAAGAACATGAAGGGTCTCGTTTCGAGTCTCAACCTGATGATGGTTGGCGTGTCGGCAGCTGTTGGGTTGGCGTCTTCGCCTGCGATCAAGGACCCCAACCTGATTTGGGTGTTTGCTGGTCCGACCATGGTTGGGGCTGTGATGACGGTGCTTTTCTACTTTACCTTTCAGCACATTGACAAGGAGGAGTTTGTGCTCAACACGGGGGGTGAGCTGGATGGTCTGGATGCCGAGGGGAAGCAGGGGACTGGTGTGTTTGGTGAGAAGGACAGGGTTTGAGGAATGGTTGAAGCATTTCTTGGCTCCACGAATTCACGCAAAGGCTGTGAGGCAGCTATCATGACTGATGTCAAGGGTTGGTTTTCTTTGCTGAATGAGGCGGTGCTTTATTGTATATGAGGCCATTTCTGTTTGTATACTAGCAAGGTTGGGTTGTTGGAGTTTGTCGGGTGGATTACTTGCCTGAGTTTGGGCATTCTTGTATACTGCGGAAAATTACGCCGCCAGTGTTTTTGCAAAGTACACGTCTCTTTTGCTTCGATGTGGTGATTGTTATCTAGGTTTGTTGCGAAATGTCGCCCACCAGATTTTGTGTTTTGCGGCGGTGGAGGGTTATGGGTGGCGCCGTCTCGTGTGAAATAAACTCAAATCCAGGCACAGAACAAAGTTTTAAACAGAACCAAAAATCGGTTTAAATTCCCCTTGACTTCCAGTTCCCGTTCGTTCTTTTATAATCCCTCTTTCAGAACTGTTGCAGCAATCGCATTTGGCGGTTTTTGAACCCTGAAAAACTTTTTGCTGCAAGGTTCCACAGTCAACCTCGTCTCTTTCACATCACCGCCCATCAACACACACCCGCGCAGCATATCCCCAAGAACTGCGGTCGATACAAACAATCTTTTACCATTTCTTTCAGCGGCTAAGAATCATGACCACAACCGAACAAGCCGCCGAAATGACACCCCCACCCTCTTCTCCCTCGCCAACAACAACCCCAACCCCAACCCTCTCCACCCTCGCCCCAGAACTCCTCCTTCACATCCTAGAAGCCATCCCCTCAGCAACAACCCTCTCCAACTTCCTCCGGGCCTGCCCCCAAGCCTGGCGCGTCTACGCCAAACACTCACAGCTCTTGCTCCTCCGGCTCGCACGCTACCGCTACGGTAATCCCACCCTCACAGCAGATGAGATTATTGCCTATCGAGCCCCGTTCGACATGCCGTTTATGCAGCGGATTACCAACGCGAACAGGTTGACCATCTTGACGGATTGCCCCGGGAGTTTGGACCACAGTCGATGTCAACAGGTTTATTTGCTCATGGGGGGTAGACAAAAGGAGGAGTGGGTGCAGTTGCCTAGGTGGGCGGAATTTGTGGAGCGGTGGGGGAAAGCTTGGGAGGGGAGGGAGGAGAGGAGGGTGGGACGCTTGACTGTGAAGAGAGTGAGGTTTTATGGGGAGATGGTGAGGTTTGTGGCTGGGTGGGAGAGGTGGATGGCGTTGGGGGGACAGAGGGGGAGGGGGAAGGTTATGGAACGGGAGACGGAGATGCAGTGTTTGGAGGAGCATGAGGAGTTTTGGAGTCGGAGGGGGAGGGGGAGGCGGAGGAGGGAGTTGGAGTGGGCGGTTACCGCGGCTGGACCC